TTTTAATTCATGAAGATTTCCTATACGAATTAAGCCGATATGCTGGGTCTCATGTATCACGTAGTCATACATGCAATGTCGACATTGGTTTCACTTGGTAAGATGACTAAATAGTACGAGAAGCAAATTCAGAGCAAATAACAAACATAAAATCAGACTTCATGTAATCTGCTAAAAATTCGACTGCTTCAGGATCCTTGTGTCAATAGGGCTGATCCTCTCTGACGTCGGCTATAACCTTCTTTTTATCCAGCTACTCTGCTAGCACATAGAAACTGTTAAATAATCAATTATTTAAATTCATATCAACCATGAAGACAACAATTAATGAAGGTAACATCAATAATGTCAGTGGTGTAGCCTAAAGCCATTTCTCCTGATGCTACAGTCAAATGTCTTTACCTATTTCACAAAGAGAATCTTATCATCCAGGAATTTATTTATCGCTGATCAGATTGGGGAACAATTATAGAGTGAAAACACTCATGTGTGTAAAAAGCATGTTGTTCTGAACAGTCTAGATTAGGATGTCAAGATGCCGTTGATGTCATTTGAGGACCTGTTTTGTATCCCTACATATTTTACGGTGTAGCAAATGGCGAATTGTCAAGCTTGCTGGAAAATACAAAATTATTGGGTTCTTAAAACTAAGTTCCACACTCTTCTTAAGTTGCCTTAAAACTGTTCATAAAAATAGAATGCATTTGTGCAATGTGACCTTTAAACGTAGAAAGTTTCAGTTGGCGCTTTAACCTTCCAAGCAAAAATAATTTGAGAAAATATAGCCGAAGGATAATCGTTTATTACTCTGACAGTCTAATTAGGAACGAAAAATGTCTATAAATATAAAGAGGTACTGAAGTGACTACGTGTTCTTTGGGGAAATCGGGTGTTAGGCAGGCCCATATTTGCGTGATACGATCATCACGTCAGTGTATCATGACGAGACGGCGTTTAATAATTCGTCTATGAAGCAAAACAGATTATCAAAAGGACTTTTTTAAATATTTCAAAAAGTTGTCGAAAACTATGCCTTGGATCTCGTACAAAAATGTCGCCAATATATTTTTTAAGAGTAGCAGGGGATTATGATAGTGTCCCGTTCTCTAAGTTGGCTATAAAGGTGTTTAAAAAAGGGTAAATGTTGATCTATCCGCCACCTTACCGTTTTGGCCGTAGAGAGTGAGTCTACGGCGCAAATTATAAGCCGCCGTTTTGTCTCCATGGTCCAAATATTTAAGTTAGTCATGCGTCGGTGACATTACAAGGACAGTTGGTCGTTGATAGGAGTGGCCCGTCCGGCACTTGAAACTACTGAACATTTACAAGTCCTTGGAATTGTGGAACTAGTTTGCATAATGTTCCCGTTTAGGTTATTAACCCACTGTCTGTGACTGCGTTCAAACGCGGGTGTTGGATGCTCGATGTCAGCAGCATTATCTCTTCTTCCGAGAACGCAGTATCTGCTGTAGAACGGGAGTTTTTTCGATTAACCAAAGTAGTCATGTTTCCTTGATAATCTCATTCCGGCTTACATCAACTTTTGTCACAACAGCATTCCTTTCACGTTCTATTGCGTTCAAAGTATCCATATGGCTCTTGGTTGTAAGAACGCTGCTCGCAAATCTGGCAGCGAACCAATAACTAATGTTGATTGGATTGCATCTGGAGCAAGCCGTTTTGATATGCTGTCGTTAGCATGCATGCGCCGTTGTGCCTTCTATCTTTGTGCACCATTTGCCATAGTTTGATGAACGTTTACTGAAAGCAAAATGTGATGGACATCTTCCTCCAAAGAGATGGTCACTCAATCATAGAATTAGAATTTCTGGATGGTATTCGTTGATTGTTGAAACGGTTTTGGGAACATCTAGCTGGTTTTCAATTAAGGGGTATGACGTGAAGAAAATTTTTCAATTTGAGGTTGGAACAAAAATGTCCACGAAGAAGGGTGCAAAAATTGTTCATGGCTTTTCACTGCACAGGAGCGTGATTTTAAGAAATTGACAATGAGGCTAAAATTCACCCAAACGGTCGCTAGAAGGGACTAAGGAACGATTAATCCAAAAGGATACACACGATAAAACAATTCAGATGACATTCGTGGGAACAGAAATCGTTCATTTTCTGAACACAGTATGCTGGAGTTGAGAAACCTTTAGTTGCACACAAGATGTAGGAGACAAAAAATGTTACTTGGTCGTGTCACGTTTGGATGTTCCAAAGATGGTGTCGGGAAATAACACGTTATCTTGGGAATAAATAGCAGCAGAATTCCCTGTAACTCCATCCGTAGAACGCGCAGGAATAACCCTGTCAGAATATTAAGAAGCTCTAGAGGACAGAGCTGAGTGTTTATCAAACTTCTGGTTTTAAAATATAATTTTAGATAAAATTGGACACCTGAACATGGGAGGTTTCCATGAGTCACTATCAAAAATATTTTTTTAAAAACTGATATAGCGACGTCTTTCACTGGGCAGTCACAGATGATTTCCCACGAGGTGACTCTCAGCGGAAAAAACGTCGGCAGATGAAAAACAAGGCATTCAACGGTTGAATTGCGGGAAAATCTCCAAAGTGTAGTGAATTTGATGAGAAAGCATAACGGAAGTAAATCATGCAGAGTGCTGGAAATAAAGAACTCTGGGAACAAGCAATTTTTGTGCTTCGACCATGCGACTTTGTAGATAATGGGGCTGAAGTGAGCTGTTTGTAAACTGCCAGCGAGACCTTACGGCATATTCCAATTCTCCCATGGCCACTCTTTATAAGCTCGACTTTCAAGCTATGGTGACTTAATTTGGTCTTTGAATGTAACTTCAGATGTGTCATAATGGTACACAGGTTATTAGAATACATCTTACGTTTGCAAATAGCACTCGACGATCCCACTTGGTCACAAACAGCATAGGTTTACGAGTGTTTGAAAGTGCTAGGTTTTGTAATCGAGTTTTCCATTAGTGGCATGTTAATAACGTTACCCTGAAGTAAACCCCTGGATACGGAAGCTTTGTAAACTGTAGTTACCATATTTGGCAAAGAAACGAATCCAAATATGAGGACCATTTAAATTCTTGGTGGTAGTGTGAGAAAATTTGGTAAATTGCAACTGAAATTTCGTTCTGGAAGGGAATCCAGTCCAGCTTTAAATCCAGCTTTAAATTACTATGCAAGCGTTTTTAATGAGAATAATGCAGTAAGGTGCGCATCTTGTGTTCGTTCAGTTTACTGTACCCAACAATCGGCTTGATAATGATGGCAGCCAACGCAGGACGGTCAATAATCTCAAATGACATTCTGATTTCGCATTAAACGCTTTATTCATGCCTACCTACCCTTCGCGACGGCCCAAAAAAATTATCTGACAGAAAAAAATAATGCCGTCAACCCAGTTTGGGATGAGGTCTATGGGTAATTTGCCATTTTTTCAAACCCTGCCTTAAGACTCACTAAATGTGATGTGTTCGAGAGCCAAGCTCATAACCTTGACCTTCATTCTTCCGCAAACAGTTTCATAAGTGGACTAGTTGTGCCAAAAATGTTAATGTGAAATGTACTCCTGCATCGCTCGCTCAAACGTTTTAGAATTGTGCATCGTGGATAATATCGAAATTGAGCAAAAGTTATATGCAATAGCAGGTCCATGCAGGTCTCCACCGTAAACTCCGTATGAAGTTTACGTTTCTTATTAGATGGAATTTTTATACGTAAGATTTCGATGTCCAAATGCGCCTGGAGTAGGACTCCGACAAACACTCATCCATTCTTGTGACTGAGCTCTCAATTTCTAGATTAGGAATGTCTCACGATTATATTTGATGTTGCTTGACTCACGAATTAAAACAATCATGTTTTGACTGTTTGACGCATTTTCCATTTTAAAAAATGCATGGAACAATTCGCAGGTACTGACTGATATCAGCTGTGTCAGCTAAATCAACTATTTTCTGGTGTTAGTTTCGGACCTGTGAATTTCATCAGCAAGCTAAACTGGTGCACTGTTACAACTGTCAAGAACAGAGTACATACATGACATTTCCATTTGGTTTTCCCAATTCGCTGATGCTCAGTATTGGTTACAGAGCTATATCCGTGAGCCTAATGGATCAAAGTTGTGATTGTTCCATCCGGATGAAATGAAACCGACGTTTCTTATACAAACTGTGTTTTCGAAGTCACGTTGATATGATACTCATTTGACGCAGTCCTACCCTTGTCTTGGCGCAATATTTTGTTGAGTTCACAACTAGACATGAAGCGCTGGTTTCGACCTCTACTCTTTTCATAACTCGAGGGTAGTGTGTGTCATTTGCCGCGCCCGGGGTTTGAACTTCGGAGATCTCATTTGTCAGGTGGGCGTGTTACCACTATTTCACCAGTGCACGCTTGATGCACTCGAATTATCACCTCCAATTAAGCGGTAGTATTCGTGCTTGTGATTAGATTCACACGGCTTCTCAACTCGCTGCCGATCATCACTGAATGAATGGGACATGTAAGTTGGCTCCAATCTTGCTGGATCCATTACAGGTCATGACATTTCGGTTTGTTTGGTCAGCCAGACAAAACTGGGACACCGTTCCATATTGAACCAATTTGCCTGGCAAAAAGTGTGCTTAATAAGCGAAATATCGAGCGTTCTTCAAATTCTCCTTCCGGAACCCGGATGTGCATGTTTCGCATGAGACGGTTTCCCCGTGGATTGTCCTTTGAAGAGAAACTACTTTGCTGTTTGTGGGCAACTTACAGGTTAGCTGATGAAGGCGTTCGTGACGAGATGCGAATCGTTCGGATGAGCATGATCAATACGTTTATTCTTCCAGCAGTTGGAAGATCTCAAACATTTTTTATCAGTTATTCAGGAGCGATTTACTAGTAACCAGTAAACTGTTTGTAGACGGTAGAAGTCACCAACAGTAAGTAGTTCTTTTGCTCACCATATTGAAAGTATTGTAGGAATACATGTTTCTTTATTTTCCGTTTTTGGACCTGCTCAGTTCCAACGCTGTTTATTCTTCTGCTGTCTCTGGTCTATTGGATATCGTGGAGCTGGCTGCAGAAGAAGACGCTGAGGACGACGATCTGGAAGATGATTTTGAAGATGAGGAGGAGGAATGTATCTATCAGATGAACGAATTATTTCCAGTCGGATTATCAGGACATCTGCCATCCTCTCAGCTTGTCGCAAACCATGCAATGGACTGCAAAGAACATGAGCTTCAAACTTGTCCATGCAAGGATACCGTCAACGCAGAATATGACAGAGCGGAAGTTTCCCATGCACTATGCATTCCAACAGGTCAAGTTACGCAAAGCCACTTTCAAAACAAATCAGAAGGAACATGTCAGGTTGCTTCGTTAGCCGGGCTTGCATTTCTGGTGAGCTAAGCCCCAGTACATCATACCGCGTTGTGTAACAATTAGAGCCCCGCGAGCTTGTGTTTTTCGCCACAGTGGGAAATTTAAAGCGCCAACTCTATCGGTTGGTGCAGATGGGATGCATATGGAGCTGGTCGCTAATACTCCATATCCTCTTCTCAGTCATCATAAGTAAAAGGGGCAAACCATAGTGGCATGGAGGAACAACTAGACACTTATATAATGATGGAATCCTGGTTGTATGGGGAGCCATAGGTAGCCACATAGGTAGAAAACACTGGTTTGGGAACCTGGGTTAGCCGGTCTCTCAGGATGGTCAATGTGTGGTTTGAGGTTCTGGAATATCCACCTCATGGGCCTGATTCAAGAACAGTGTGTTGATCTGCTGTCTGTACATATTCATCGACATGCTACGTGGGTAACCGGAAGCACTGATGAAATAGGGTTATACCTGTGAAGGAAAGTTTGTCAGGAAGTCTTGAGAGACAAATATAGCTCAGGATGAAATCACCTCAGACCTGAGTTCAGCTTGTGTATTGTGAGACAGAACAAATCTCCAATGTTCTGCCGTATCCGGTCCCCTCAAATTCCGTTTTCGTGGGAAAAGCTCGGTTAAACAGGTTCAAGATGCAGTTCTGTGTAAGGACAAAACATAGACATACCAAAGACTGTAGAATGATGCTTCTGACCGGTCCAGATTAGTGGTCGTTCCGGAAGATCAAACTCTACTGGTATTGTGAATCAGGTAACAACTGCCCTTCTTCACCTCTTGTAATGTTGTTTTCTCACCTGAACAAAGCATCCGTATGTTGATGACACATTCACCGCACCTATTTCCAAATGGTGCTGGTGCTACCGCAACTGATCTGTACCGGGTTTTGTATAACTCACGCCTAATCGGTATATGCAAAGCGGAAAAGTAAAACTACTGCTTCCTGATCGGCTTTTCAGCGTTAGCGCCGCAGTGACATATCAGAGCACAGTTGGCTGCAGAGAAATAAATAGGTATTTCAAGCAATGGTTATGTTGTAAGCGCAGAATTTAACATTTATGTATGACAGGCACTAGGTCATGTGGTTGATGCTGATTAAGACGGTGATTCCAGAAAGCACCGTCATAGTTCACAGTGGTGCGAAGGAATTCCGGCTTGTTGGTATCAACCCGTTAACATCTAGCGTGGTAAACTTACGGTGGGCATTGTTCCAAAGCAATTTCAGAATGTACAAACGTATGTGTTTTCTTACCAGTCTACCTCAGATTGGTTTTCACCATCCACGCTTATCAAAGATAGGCAATGTACGCTGGGGCCATATCTTTAGCCGGTCAGCTACAAGTAATGACTCATTCACGCGTGCCGACAGAGCTGCGTAATCATACCAACAAACGGGCTGCATACCACCGAATGCTTACCGACAAAAACCACTAATATCCGCCCAATGTTTATATCGGACTCCTTTCAATCGACCAAACTTATGAATATTCGCCTAGACACAAACCGTTGCAGAGGTTTGTGTCAGCGAAGCATGGCACCAATCCAGTAAGCAAATCATAAACAACCCCCTGTGAAAATGTAGCCAGCTTCCTTGTAGATCCGCGTAATATTAAGAAATTATACCTGATACAGGTAAACCTTGGTGTATTGGGAGCGTGGCGTCCTTTCCTTTTACAACTGTAGTGATCTCTGAAATGAAAACTGCGATACAGGGATCAAAACACAAATCTCGCAGAAAAGAAATGAATACCTCGAAGAAAGTGTGTCAGACGACGGAAACGTTCGCTTACAAACTGGTTGTTGCATGAAGGTCGAAAATCATGTGTGATCCATCAGGATTGTGGACTGTGTACCGAACTCCTCGGTCGGCCATAGATTTGACGAGAGATGATCGGCTGGTCACCGTGGCCAAGCTGAGCATTTCTAACTCACCTCCAATAGGTTGCGTCGAAACTGAACAATATGCATAGCAAGCTAACTAAAATTAGTTCCAGTTGGTCCGGTGGAGACGAATTTAGGACCCGAGGGACTATAATAACCTGGAAACGGTAGAAATGATCGACAAAGCCCCCAGATAATAATACCGATTCGAAATATCAGACATCAACATTGACATCGAACCGACGAAGCACTATGGGCATGAATCTGTCCAAATCTTAGGGCACGTTGCCTGTCAAACGGACCGTACCCCACAATTCCTCCCATGGTAGCACTGCGCGACTAGGTCGTGTGTTTTGGAACAAACAGATGTATTAGTATTGTTTGTCGACTGATGGATGGTGGCACCCAACACGGCAGACGTGACACCTTTCCGCCTCTGGTGATAGAGGATTATCATGGTGGCTTAGTTGGCTTGGTGAATCTACTTTCAGTTAGAAGGCATATCGTGAGCTTGCTGGTGACGATCTTAAGAGGCAGGTTTTTGCCTGTGTGAAAATGTCTTCAATGATTTTATGTCCGGAAGTGTCTGGACATGCTCAGATCTCATGATGCCAGGTTTGAACTCGGACGAACACCAGAAGGCCAATGACAGCAATGAATCTGTCAGCGTTGGATTCCAAGATTAACATGTCAAAATAACTGGTTTATTTGACCCAGGCAGCATGGATTTCAGAATCAGCAGAATTTGGGGCTGCCTGGCCGATGGTTTGTCGGAGTCACTAGGCAACATTTCGTCCGGTAGTTTCTGTCACTTAAATAAAATATCCTGATATTGATTCTTATTGTCGATCGACCAGGAAAGTAGTGTTCCCGTCTCTAGGACGGGGGTCGTTTCTTAGCACAGGACGAACATGGTTTGCCAGCTAAGCGCATCAGTGTCCGTGATATGCAGGCACCAGAATCATCGGTCGGTCCAGCTTAGCTTTAATTTCTCAGTAGCGTGTGGGTGTCGGCGATGTTTATTCAGGTCAGTGTTTATCAGAAACCGATGAGAATAATAAGTACAGGCTACCTGGGCGGACAAGTTTACGATCTAACTCTTTCACGGGCGTGAATTTGACGGCGGGCTACCAAGCCGGCATTCGATTCACAGCAGTTGTCAAGGTCGTCGTACACAAATCCAGCGAGTTACTCCTGCATACTGGTTGGAAGCGGTGCAGCAGCGCCAGCTGGATCATGTCTTTCACTGTCAGAGGTAACCGGTACGTTCAAATCAATTAGGGTGACTGTCCTCGTCTGATGAATCTGCACGTAATAGTCTAGTGGTGTTTATAATGCTGCCGATAAGTATAACTGTCCGATTTGAGGACGTGTTAGAAATAGGTATACGCGCTAGCACTTTTAGTCATCAAGAGCCAGTGGATGTAAACATGTACTCCCTTTGCGGTTTTTTAAGTCCAACCCCATGTGCTTTGCAGGTACTTTCAAATAGGTTTTGGATTCTTGAATAGTGATTTATACTCGAGGCTGGAGTTGTTGAACGAAGTTTGTTGAGATTTTACGGTTTAATTCGGTGGCGTAAATGCATAAACAAACCACAATAAGTGCACAACCTCACAATATCTTATTGCATTTTTCATGCTCAATGCAGACGGTTAGGAAGAATATCTTCACTATAATGATCCCCTGTATGTCTTTGGAGTGTGTATATAATAATAAAAATAGTGTGAAGCTAACCAAGGACCAGATAAACCTCTGCAACTAATGACGAGTCCCTAGAACCACAGCAAATTAGAGCGACTGTCAAGTTTATTACTGCCTACTGTAAATAAATATATATATATATGGGCGGTGGGATGTTGGACGTTGCAGATGACATTTCAACAAAACAACCGATAGTCCTGATTTGGATGCAAAAACTTCTCCTCTCTGGTAAACAAGTTCATCGAAATACACGAATTTGCGAACCGTTATATTTCAATAGGAGACTCAGGTGAATCTCAGTGGAATTCCCGTTTTGTGTTATTCGGCAACCTTATGAATAGTTCCTCCAAAAATTAGGCCCAACTTTGTATCAGCATGAAAGACGCTTTGTTTGTGACTATATTGCCTCAATAATGATGAATCAGTTTAGATAAGAGAAGTGTCTGGAAAAGATACTTTGAAATATGGTCACTAGTACTTTCTTAATCAAAATTCTGTACGGTCAACTGAGTAGCTATTTTTCGGCTTATAAAGCAGGAGTTGCTCTAAGGAATTATTAGCATGTTGTGTTTTATTAGATCCTACACACCAAGCCCTTTTTGTTTTTTAACGCATTATCCGGTGCGCATTTTTGTCCGTTTCAGGAGGTGAATTTATCAAAAAGTCCTCCGGATGAAAAATTTGGCCTAACGCTGTGCTATCAGAACGGAGAAAAGGAAGATGATGAATGTGAAGTGTATGTTGGTGAGGTAAGATCTGCTAAATAACAGGATGCAATCTGTTGGGGTGAACGACCAAATGCTGCGTCCTGGATGCTCTGTTAATCGGGGGAAAATGCAAATTGGAGCTTGTTAACAATGAGACAGTCTGTTGTCTAACACATTCATGGTGAAGAAAATTCGCATAGAATTTAGCGTTAGAATAGTTTTTGAAGCATATAATCGCTTTACTGCTAATGAGGGCTACCCCCGGTGGATTGCTTGTAAAGAGAAATCAACTAAGAATAATCTTCATTTGTTCTCCTAATTTACCAAGTGCTCAATATCATGTAAGTTAATTTTGCGACCAAATTTATGGAAGAGCTCCCCACAGTTTGTTTATTTCTCGGCAATTACCACAAACTGTATTTGCTTCATCAATGACGTTGTATTCTAAAGAATGCAGATATGTTTTCTTTTAACATAACAAGTTTTGCGAGTAAATACCAACACTACACTTCAACAAAGCGTTCTGATTTATCATTTAGATAAATTTTGACAGTTCTTCTTAACTCTGCAGTTTTTTAATTGCTTCAGTCAACTTAAGCATGCATCCAGTTCTCTTGTAAAAAACCGGCTTCATTAAATTGACCAAAAATTAACTAATGCCACGAGCAGTTATTCTCGAATCTTTTTCCACCAAGGACTAGGCCCAACCAAAGGCCAGGGGCTTGTATCTGTTTAACGTCCTGTACCGTTTATTTGTACTTTGCATTACGGGGGTGGAGTTTACTTTGGATTGACTGTGAATAAGTTGATCAGCATGAGCTGAGTACACTCCAATCGATGAAAGAGAAAAAAGAACCCAGGTGAAATACATGTTGTTTTGCGTGAACTTTGAATCGTTTTGGTAAATGATAACCAATTTTGCTGTGGCTTCCAGTCTCTAACTTGGCCTGATGATAACCATTTTGTCATAAATTGGATCGCGCTTAATGGTTCTTGATGAACCACATCAGTGTAACCCGGCTGACGAACAAACAGCCACGAAGGCATTCCTATACCGGATGATGAACATGCAATATGGCGTTCAATATGGATCGAAATTGCTGTTGATAGACACGATGGTCTACACTTCCTGGAAGACAGCCCAATGCTCTGACTTGAAAAAAGAGACCAGAGACCAGAGTAAGCTAAGAGGACGAGCAAAATACCTTATAGCACTTATAAGTTCGTTAGTCAACAACACAATGACGCCTCAGTCACTTGAAAATTCACTTCGATTTGTTCAATAAGCATTCGCCCACGCCCTGTTAAAAATTGGACTACATTTAGTGATCACCAACCACAAAATGCCATACTTGTTTCTAGTCAGTGAAGGTGACTTTTCACAAAGTCTACGATAAACGGTTTAAACTCTAAAGTATCTTCTAGGAAAAGGCAGAAGAATACGATGAAACAGCAGATTCATGGGTTTTGACAACATGCGCCGTCGTGTATCTGTGTTGGTAATGTGTCAACCTAAAAAAGTGTTTTAATGTAAAGGGTCCCACCTAGTAGTTGGCGATTTTTTTCGAAAAGAGATAACTCTTCCAGAATTAACACATAATGAGTGTATTTAGGTATGTGGTCAGAGAAAAACTGCTACCAAAAGGCGGTACGTGCCAACCAACCTCCATCCTGTTTGGGTGAAATTCAAACCCAGTGTTTAAATTGCGCAAAAATACAAATGGGTGGTTTCTTGTTCCTCATGAACCTTTTTTCTACCGCTCCCATTCCGTCACACACTCGATGCAGATCGAACCAAACAGTGTTGCCTCACGTGGCGCCGGATTGGAGGTGGGTGACCGCATAATCAAAATTAACGGGCAGTTAATTCGGACTCGGAGACAGGTCGTTGAACTGTTTAGAGCAAGCACAAAGACGGCTACATTGTTGATCGTTCGTCATGCGCCATCGAACGGGCCGCAGGCGAAAGGTATTACGTTCCCGAAAGAATCGATACCATTGTTGATGGAACAAGGAGCAGAGCAACCGACAAAGCCTAAAGCCAAAGAATGCCCGAATTTCTGTGTAAGTTGTCACATCCGGGGACATACAAAAAAGCAATATACCATTATCCACATTTCATAATTTTTCGCCAAACAGCAAGAAGGTTTCCGCATGTGAAATCGTTTAACTTTTCAGACCAAATTTTTAAAGAAACCGGTTATTTCCGAAGCTAGACACAAATTGTGGACAAAAATTACTCAGATTGTTAGACTAAATGTACACAACGAACATGTCATCAATCAAACTATCCAAACTTTGAAGCAATAACGTAGAACTTTCAGTAGCGATTACCTTTATCATATAAAATCCATTCCTCGTAATCAACAATCAATAATCATCCTTTCACATGTTGCACCTTTTTATCTCCTGAGAGAGAATAAATCAAGCAGCATGTCTACAGAATTCTAAATAAATTCAGTAGTAGAAACCCACTTCTACCTTTGAATCATCCAAGTAGTGCTTACCTGTTAAATAGTCTCCTCAAACTACGTAGTATGCTGCATAAAACCATCACTACCAGGCCTTCAGCACTTTCTACCTCCAAACCTGCATATGGATCATTATTTCTGTGTTTCATTTGCTGACGTTTATTCTGAGTTACTCTTGTTTTAAGGTTTTATTGTGTATTGCTACTTTCTTGACTATTTGGACTGCAGAACAGAAAAACCTGTCAGCTGATACGTCAGTTGACTTCCCAAATGACTTCCCACAGTCTCTTAAACGCACAGCATCAATATAATTCACATACTGAGTGATCCTTCAATCTTATAAAGCGTCACTCAAAGAGCCAGTCAGCATATGACCACGTGATGTGATTCCCCTATTGGAGGTTGTGACAGTGTATCCTTTCCCAGTGCGAGTTAATCACACTATTGATGAGCCCTTCGTGACGAACGGTTTAGCCGTCAGCTTTCAGCCGGAGGTTCGAGCTTTCCTGAAAATTCATGAGAGGCGCACCGCTGATGATTTTCGATGAAGATCAATGAACTATGCCGGGCTTCTTGGCTTTTCAGTGCCGACTGGCTCCATTTACAGGATGAAATCTTCACTGCTTGTCACAACAGTCCAATAACCACCACATTAGCTGACGGTAAACATATCACAGGCGAACTCAGCATTGTAACTCAAGCCGTCCGACAAGGGTGTATTTTTTCAAGTACATGACTTACCAATCAATTTCGCGGATAAGACGCATCACGTAATGGAATCCACTTAAAGGAGCAAAAACTTTTGAATTTTCCCAATAAAACCGATGCCCTCCACAAAATATGTATGGGAACAAAAAACTGCGTGAAACTAGTAAAGCTTAAGCACGATGATCCGTCACTCAACGAACCTCGCGGTGTGGCACCTATCGAGGTGTTGCTCAACTGTACTTTCAAAACACAGTTTGACACCTGGTTAATCTAGCGCCTATTGTTTATTTTCAAAAGACTGACTTAATACATTGCACATTTTTCTCATATCGTAAATTCAACAGTGCGTTGTGATAAAGTAATAGCTACGTATATACACATATATGACTTCGTTTATTCGTGAAGACGTCCCCCAAAAAACAGGCCAAACTCGAGAGCAACGATATTGAGTTCAGACGTCCTAAATATCTTCATACAACGAGATTACCTCACAAAATGAACCTGTTTCCACGGATACATCTTCAAGAGGGGTGAATACTTCTGCACTGTAAAGAAAGCAATAAACGCTTTCATAGGTTAGTATTCTTAGGTGCGATTCTTTAACCGCCATAATTTTTCACCCTGAATTTTTGCGGCCTTCTCGAGTAAAACGTGTTAGCATTACTGAAACTTGCATGTTGTGGCATGACACAGCATGAATTCTGACTGCCAGTTTAGCCACATTACAATGAAATGAAAGAAATGGCCAGAAAATGCCGCAGCAGGAAGCCAAAATGAATTTTCTGTTGGAGTTTTGTTGATGAATATTGGCACAAGTACTCTCTACATTATTCGTTTTTTTAAATCCCTGTACTCTCTGGCAGATTCGCATACCTCAGGGATTCCAATTGAAAAATATGTATTACGGGAACTGCGATTTCCAAAATTATTTTCCTTGCATGGTGAATTACCACCAAAGAAGACAATGAGAATCGGACACTACCACTACACGCTTAATACTCTTACCCAAAAAATTCTATAATTCTTCTATTTACGCACTTTGAGTAATTATATCTCCACCAATTGTTGTTTCACTTTATGTTTGAGCGTAAACGGCACTAGACTATCTGAACTCAAAAAGATCTTTTCCATTTCACGAACACCCAAGGACTGTCTAACAACAGACGTTGCTTCGAAGGAGAGGGAAGTTGCTTTTCAAAGTGCCCTCCTTGTTTACTTATGCCTATCCGATAGTTTTGTCCTGTAAATTAGACGAATAACCTTTTAGAATTAACCTTTTTAAAAATTGTTTCTTGTGTCTTTCAAGAGGTCATTAGGAAAAGAACACAGAACATTGTCCGTTCCTCTATTTGCTTGAACATTCGGCCTGAATATTTAATAATCCTAATAACTTTTTCTATACTACATACACGTTAACTTCCGGTCTACTTTAGCATCAGGTTTCTCTTAAACGCCAGCACTAATTTAGTGAATGGTTGTTTTCCTGTTGGCCCAGCCGGACAGTTTCGCTACCAATCTACATGACATCATCAGTACGTAGGAAATTTGCCTTGTATAGTTGTTTATTAGTAAAGTTGAGTGAGGCGCTGAACATAACTGTTCTCGTTATTCCAATTCCCTTTTTAAAAGTGGGAAAATTTTTCTGCGCTTCACTCACTGGATAATGAAATTTGATGACTCCAAACATGGATTCGTCAGCAACAACACTTAGCTTGGCCGATCATCTTAGTGGTGGACCCATGGGCCCAGTAAAATGAGTCAGTAAATGCAAGGACTTGAGCATTATGATTTGGACGGCTTTCAGTCATGCCTAAAATGCCCAGACCCACTAAGTCGGTGCTAGCATTAACGATCAGGCGTATTACAACAAGATCTCGAGCTAATCCGTGTCCTCCTAAACAGTCCTCTTGTCTGGGACAATCAGAACATCAAGGACATCCTCCATCGTCACCATGATCACCAGCACCGATCCTAGACTATCAAACCCTTACATACACTAAAGGACAGGACGTCGGCCGTTCAAACGAGAGCGGTGTGAATGTGAACAACCAAATAGGTGTTGATCTAGGACCATGTGAAACGCAGTGTCAGAACGGATCAAAAAAGGTCAATGAAAGAACGGTCCAAGAAGATCAATGCCAGGAGATAAAGATAGATATCACGTGATTTCAAAAGCGTTTGTTTTGACTTAAGGACGTTAGAAAATTCTGTACCACTAGAAGACCTGAAGTGATCAAGCTGTCACCTTTATCAAGACTGTCAAATCAACGTTTTGCTGTCGACGTGAGCTAGGCTTGTGTTGATCAAGGTTTACTCCAAGGGCTAGTTCAATTCAACTGAGTTCAAATCGAATCTAGTTCACATATGTATTGACATCGTGATTATAAACACTTCACTATCGATCGTCTCCTTCTTTTGCACTTAGTTCTCAACCTCTTCTTTCTGTGCACTCCTTATCAAGGCGTTATTTTATAACAGCAAAACATTAAACACGGTAAATGAGTAATTCTCGTTGGCAATCTATAAAGTGCTCTTAGTGTCCGGAGGCGAAGTCAAAGGAGTGTCATCCGGTAGGAGTGATTAATGCTGAATATTTTCTCCCACAATACAGAGAGAAAGCTGAACCCTTACCGACTAGCGGCATGAAAGATTAGGTCTGAATTAAACTTTCTCCAGTTGTCAATTTGCCAGGTCTGAGCGCACGCTACTTATATCGGCGTTCTATATTATTGTCAATCTGTAACAATACCGAATGGCTCAGCACCTCAGGCCTCACTTCGGGTAATCGGTGGCCAACTTGTCTCCAGAAATGCATTTATTCACGTGAGTTGCGTGTCAAAGGAGAATACGATAACCCGATTAGATTCAGCGAATAACTAGTGGACCCAAAGTGGCACTTCTGGACAATCATATTGAGAAACATTTTTACTGCTGATGAAACCCCTTTAGTTTATCTGTGGGTTCTAACACTGATCAGGCAGACTGACTAATGTGAGAACTGAAAGTATTAAGTGAGTGACTGCCCACACTGCTTTGCCGGTGATCAGGCGGAAAAGTTAATGATGATATGATGATGACTATTAAGTGATTAGCATTTTCACGTGACCGTTGTTTTGTAATCGCGACACGTTTTAATCTTTTGTATATTCATGAAAAAGGTTGGCTTTCGCTTTGACTTTTGGTAAGTTCTTGAGGGTTCACTCAAAGTTTTTCACGTTGCGAGCTTTGATGTAGCGAGAGAAATGTGGCGAACAAGCAATTTCAGTAGAAATAGGTCAGCATCACGCAAGCTGGATACCGAATTTAATCTCCTCGCTAGGCACATTGGATTGATTGTTGACTGATTTCCAGCTCGTTGTTAGTTTCCTGTCAATATTCTGCTACGTCTGCTTGACAGACAACTACTGGACTGTCATTTTGTCGTAAGTGCACGCGATCATCCTAAAGTCTGTGTAGACGAGGAAAGATTGATCTCAGATGGCGACCATTCGGCTTTCCTTCCGTAATGTTTTCCTTCTGTTTTTTATTGCCTAATGCTTTAAAGTCCAAAACTTGAAGGATTTGTAGACCGTCTTTTTCATTCGACCGACATTATCGGATTACGAGGGAACCTTTTGTTCGACGGTACATTAAACTTCGTAATCTATTCATTGCATTTAGGGAGTAAAGTAAATTATTTCAAACAAATTCACTGACAAATTCACTTCGTTAGTCAGCACAGTCAAGAATGTTTACCGACCTCGTTGTTCGCATTGCTGAAAATTGATCTTTGTTTATTTTTGAAACAACTACCCCGCCTACCGATGTCCAACAAAATGACGAAAAATAGAATTGCTTTCCAGAAAGTGTACCATGGGCTTTAACCCACCCCGCTGTGCACACTGCACCTGTTTGGTACAGGTACTATAACCCGAACACGCCCGTCTGAACGTGGCATGTTGAATTTGTGCCACAAGTTAGCCCGGCGTGGGATGAGTCACTGCTGCGCGCGAGTCAGGCCGGTGATCGTTGGTAATTGTCAGATAGATGCATAACAAACACGTGGCCCGCAACCATGTGGCTTCGCCTGCCATTTATTTATTTTCCTGCGCGCGTGAGACAAGCAGAATCTGAAGACGACAGCGCTATCATCAGGAGTTCCTGAAGGCACAGGCCAGATCCGGTAGATGATTCAGTATTTCTGACTAGGTTCGCAACGTAAGACGAGCCACATGTGCTGTACGAAGAGCTACTTGGTGAGATGCCTAAAAGTTCGTTGGGTGCTAATTTGTCCGTGGTGAAAGAAAACTCTGGAATCTGCTGTTCCATCCACCTGTCTTAAAATGTAAAAGATTTTGGTATTCCCCATAATAACTATCTTTATTATAGCCGTTGGCTCTGCTTGCCGAGCGTGTTTCACGCAAATTTCCAGTTTGTACGTCAATAGTAAATTTGTAGCTTCAGATAAATCAGATGCCTTACTATACTCTGTGTTTTACATGGATTCGATGATAAAATAATCGGACTCAGTGCAGTCAGGAAAACTTATCTGTCGTACGACCTCATGATTTTACTGAAGTTCATCGACAAAGTGAGTGAGACGGTAATACCATGTTGTCCATCTTATGTTGGGGGAGAAATCCTTTCTGCGCGAGGAATCTTCATACTGAATCTTAACCTTTAACACAGCGTATTCAAGTTATAATCATTGCCGATAATTATTTCACAAATTCCTAGGAACATAAGCTCGTTTTATTTTTTGCGCTTGTATGCGCACAATTAGGACCATATAGGCAGTAAGTGTTGAGAACATAGCAATATTGTCCATAAACAATTACTTAGTTTGAATAAACGTTAACTCCGAAAACTTGGGGCAACTATGGGCGCACTTTTTCCCCATTAAGAAGCATCTTCATGTGTTTTCCATGATGTTTCAGTACGCGTAAAACCTATACGTTAGAAAATGCTTAGCGCACTCAGGTTCCGTGAGAAGAAGAATTATCCTTCTGGATTGGAGGTTGCTTAAACTTGACAGTCTCCCAAGAAGAGTCGGTGAAAATGGATTGGACATTATAAACTTTTGAACCGGTTGTTTCAGGTTTGCCTCCTTGATATAGTGAGAAATTTGACTAGACACGGAAGACACATATAAGCAGTTCTACCTGTCAATTAACATCAATCTCGTTGCCGGTTAATTAGGCGTGCAAGCAGAGCCGGGCTGACAGATATCCACCGTTTGTTAGTTTCCGTGTCAGACACTTTCGGAGTGTGAAATGTTCAACTATTTGATAGCAAGTATATTATCAATGAAATGCAAAACTTTTGTAATTTGGCAGAGCAAAAGTTGTACGATCGCTATGCATTATCTTGGACATCAACGATTTTATCCGTCAACTACTCGCAAAAAAGGAGTGCCTCGTTAACCAACCTTACAAGGACAGATCTCTTAGATTATTACTCTACATCTATTAATGTGTGCTCGAGGGCGGCAGTGCAATCTTCGTATTCCTGATCTTAGTAGCAAATTTGGGGTTAGTACGCGCATTTCTCGTTGGTAACGCGAAAGCTTGTAAAAACATGGAAAGATATTTCCCTAAAGATCCGTTCAAGTTGTTCGACTACCAACTTTTCTCTTTGAATTCCACACCTCAACCTACCTCATGTAGGCTAGCTTTGCCGTGTCTAGTTGCGGTTACATTCGCCAAGTCGAAAGTGGTCTCAAAGTATTACGCATTTCCATACAAAGACAACGTGACCGTAGTTTGAATAATTGTTCTTTATCTAATCAGTCTTTCAAGCGGCCTGATCAAGATTCTGGAACCGGACGAACTACTGACGAAAGCGCCCCAACCGAAGAAAGTTCTGAACAGGTACGTTTTACGCGAAGTTGTTTTGTGCCAAAATCACTTCATAACGTCTAACAGTGTTTCTACGTTTGGATTTGAAAGCTCCACATGTAATCCGATGCAAAACCTAAACGGAGATCTGAATAACGACTGAACAACAAAGTGGAATACCTATGGATTGTTCCCTTCAATGGGCATAGTGGGGTTTTCGGTTTATTAGGCTGGTTTTCATTCGTTTACCTCATCTGTTTTCCTCACATTCGTTCTTAAATGGAGATGTACATATATCAGTGAGTTTCATGTCCGAGGTTATACTCCTGCGAGAAGGTAATTGCAGTGATCAAAACTTGCCTGGCTGTTTGTTCTTTACGATTAAAGGTCGTGGCATTTGATTGGTCCACGAGTTTTGGTCTAATACAATGACTTTATTCTTCTGACAATCACAACTTACGGCGGCAGTTCAATCAAGAACCTCGGTATTGGGCTCAGTTGAGGTCAAAGCGAAGCTAAGACTTCCCACGCCAGATAGTTATCCATCGCAAGATATGTGGAATATCAAGACGTGGTAGAGTGTACAAATCTGCTCATCAAGAGTCTCCACTGTTTCTTGTTGACGGAATCTATTAAAAATGTTCTAGTTTGCATTTGCAATGGTATGATCCGCATGATATCTAGCCACTAGCTTCTCAAGTTCTGTCAATTTCTTGAATATCGCACTGAAGTTTGCGCACAGCAAGGCCGTATTGAAGGGCTAAATAACATGGATTTCCGCACATGGACATTCAGAAACAAAGCCGGATTAGCTGTATTGGATATCCAGAATCAACCGATTCTATCTTGGAATCTTCATTTGCAAAACTCGTAGCCCATAGTCTGGAATCGGAAACGTGCTAGGTGACGACCCCAAAATGCGCGGAACAATTCTGATACCCGACGATGGAATTCTCCAGTGAACCCGAAAATGCTCTCCCATAAACCAGATCACCAATAGGTGACGCAATCAATGCATGATTGTGAAGCGAGGCAGTGAGCAATTAATTTTTTAAGTCAAGTGCATCAACATTCACTGATAATGACTTCTCAAGTAATGGCAAGGGGTTTGCAACTGAAAGTCACGTTTGAGGAAAACAAATCGCAGGCTACATAATCAACTAAGAAAACATGCAACGTACCCAAAAATGAACGTTTTCTTTCTCTGAACAATTCAAATACTTTATCACCGGTCTGAGTGACGTCAGTGTGTCTAAGTGTAACAAAACAAAGCAGCGCTTTATTGCTGTGCTGGTTTAGGTACCAGCATTCCCCTCAGAGGTACTCAGAAGTATACTTTGAGTATTCCGCACTTCAAAGCCAGTATCAACAGGCTCTTCATCTCTCAAACCCAATGTACCAAATCGGACAAAAACAAAGTTTCAGACCGGTCAGCAGCTACCCGGAACCACATCAAGTACGGTGTGAACCGAAGCTTAATGAAAAACGTGTCCGCCGAACAAAATATTCCTTGCATTTACAAAATGGGTCCTTGTGAGTAACACTCATAAGCGACCAAAGGGTAATCCAAATGGAGACCTGAATCTGAAAAATGAGGAATACTAAAAACACTATTTTTACGTGACGGCCACCGTGAGGTAAACCCATTACGGCTTTCTTTGACCACAATTTGACCAACACTTCGGAAAGTAAACCATCAAAAGATGAATGAGAACCGGAATGAGCGAGAAAAAACAGGAAGCGTTGGGATAAAATTGAATAATATTTCAAAGCGATCACAAGCTGTCGGTTAGTTTGGGTGAATTACATCCATTAACCTGAGCGTGTTTTCTTGAGCCCCAATCATTACTACTAATGGTTTCAAATAATGGTTCCGATGAGAACTGATTCAAAACATAAAGATTGAACGCACTATAACAAAGCGTCGATAGTTCGTAGGGCTGTGTCATCGTAAATGATGTTTCGTCAGTCATACCACACTGCGTTTTGGCTTCTCATCAAAGCCGCGCTCGCTATGTAAGTTACGAGGACAGAACCTGAAGAAGAGCTTATTTAGAAGTCTAGACACTAGATTGTCCTTCAGTAAATTGTACAGAGACTGTTTCTTCTAGGATTGCTAGAATAAGATGTTTTCCCCAAAGAAAGAAGTTGACGTTTTTCTTTAACTGCACGAGATTTCACCAGGCGCTTAGTACTGCTCGGTATATAACAATAACTTAAAATGGATAATAGTTTACCAAACCAATGCCCGTCTTTTGGAATCCCGCTATCTCGTTTTCCTCAGGTACTGAAAACCGCTTCGCTCCACTCTTGGTGGTTCACATCTTCATTACATTCAATGGGCTTCGTTTAACTGGGATAACCATAAGTCGGCAAAGCAAAAGTTACTGCCTAATCATCTTATCTAGCACATTTTTTCAAACGTGAAGCGCCATTTGTTGATATGGAAGGCAAACGGAAAGCGGTATTAGCTGAGATCATTCATGGACTGACACTGTGGGAAAACAAATGTATTGTAGGAGCCAGATCAGAGGATTCGTAAAGTATGGTTCTGCTGACTTCTAGCAATTTTCAACAAACAGAAATTGGGTTTATCGAAAACCCATTGAGCAACCAACTCACCAAAAACGGTGCTTTTATTATGCTCTCAGCCACAAACTCGTACGAGGGAATGAAACTTGTGAACGAAGGATTTTAGGGCCAAAGTCAAGGAGATTATTACGAATATCCAGTACAACCGAAGAATGTTGTGGAAGTTATTTGTTCGTTGTCATACACAGATTCATTTAGTGACAATTATAACCTTTTAAGCGAAGCCGGCTATGTAGGCGAAAACCAGTGAATACAGACACTCGGTGGAGTGTGAGCCAATGGATAGATTTAATAGATGCGCTCTTCTTGATGATTTATCTTAACAAACGTGTTCAAGTGATGAGCAATAAAAGTCAAAAAGTACTTTATTGTTCACGGTCTTCAAAATTTGTCCAGCGAAGTAAGTATTTTTATAGTTGACTTTATTTTACATTATCTATATGGGTCATGTCAAGATATTCAGATGGTGACATACTTTGCCTACCTTCGAAAAATAACTGATCATATCAGCTGTTGCCAATAGTGGCTAGCAGGATAATAAACTCGACAAAATTCAAGGAGACTACAATGTTGATTGCATTCTTGTCTTGGTTGTCCTCCGTACCCACGTTGTACTGAAACCCGGTTCTGTCTGAATGGTTAGCGACATTTAAATTTTACTCTTTGTCTTCTTTTCGCAGGAACTTGAACCAGATCAAAAAATCATTGACATGATCAGTGGAGAATTCCCAGCCAGCCAAATCCCATGTGGCTCCTTAGATAAGGCTGAAACGGCATTGTCCATCAGTCCCACGTTAACTGTGGGCGACGTGTTTGCCAGCTACAACCCCGTAGATCCAATTGACCAAGAACTTGTGCGACTAGGAAGGTTGATGCAGTCGCTCGCAGTCCACTGCCGTCGGCTTGTGCACACTAAGATGATCTTCCACAACAGCCAGCTGACACATGATTCAATCGACGTGCAAGCCGAACCACCCAGCATCGCCAAAGTAAATGATCCTGTGGACGAAAAGATTTGCACAGCATGTCCCCAGATTGACCCTGTTTCCCAGACTAGTGCATCCACACACAGTTCACCTATGAAACGTAATACAGTTGAGACCGCTTGTGTCACTCCACGTGTTCCTCGAATGGGAACTCGTGGAGTGGAACTCTCAAGTAGTATTCTGCAAATCCACAATGAGCAACGATCCGGTGCACAATCCCGTATTACCCAAGTGGAGTCCAATACCACGGTACCAGAAAAAGGTATGTTATCAAATTTCGATAGAAATATGTGTATTCTTGCACGGCTCCTTGAGTTACAGAGAAGTTCTTATCTTGTACTTGAGGTCAAAAAAACTGAATAGGTGAGAATCTCTGTACGGCGTTCCACCATATAATAACTTCAGCCGCATAATGCGGTCCTCTCACTACTACTAAACTTGAAGGAAACGTAGGTAAAACTAGCAACTGACAACTGGCTGGAATATTGGTAGCTCCGGTGCATTCATTTGCTGTTGATCACCGATCGATTGGTCGGGCTTGGCAATTGACTTGTTGTCACTGTTCAAGGAGATATCGCCGCACGACATCACTGACGGCCCACTGATGACGTCTCTCTTAATGGTGACCAAATGTCTGAAAAACGATTGCTAAGCTCTTTGAACAGATCTACAGCCATCTGATTAACTAGAAATCCAGTCAGTCTCATGTGTCACTTGAGGCTTCTGTTAGATGAACCGCATTTCGGAGAGCCACGCGTCGTGAATTAGTGTCATATACTTAGCAGATGATCACATTCTTTTCAGCCACTCTTGACGGTGCTGAAATATCAACGGAATGACATTTTTTCTTAGAAGGAATACTTAATAAGTAGTGCTCTGATGCTTGAGACTTGGAACAGAGAAATTAATAAATGGTGTGCAGAAGTAATCATTTTGAGGTAAAAATATACCGAAAAACAAAACCCATAGAATACATTCTCACGAAACAAACGGCAAAAATATACACTAATTATTGACGAGTCGTTGCTGACAGACCTTTTGTTTGTTGACATTAACTGACATCACAAGCCAGTCAGTTAACGACAAATTCCAGAGCACGATTGCAGGCAACAAACCTTGAACCCCATTGCCCAGGTTTTGAATGAAGTCAAGTGCAGAATGGATAGCGATTTAGCTAGATTCTCGCATTGCAACAACAAATTTCTAGGTTTACGCAAAGTGCAGTAGATTGTGCTTTGTACTTGGAACCACTTCCATGAATGGAACGCAGTTGTCTCTTGGAGATCCTGGTTGAACTAAGTAGTTCATGCTTTGTCCTTTGATGGCTTTGACATCCGCATAATGACCTGGCGTAGTCAACTAGATTCAAGTGTGTGGAATCCGGCGTAACAAACGAACCAGGCCCCGAATATAGCCTAAAATGACCTGTCCGTTGGTCGAGCTCTAGCGAGGGATTGCTCACATTGCTCATGCTTGCTGCATTCTTATGTGTCGCTTGCAAGAATAATGAAATTCGTAAGTACGTTGAGTTTTAGAAATCGTCAACCTTTAGGCTGGTAGGAAAACCGACTGGCAATTTTCCTGCTCGAAACAAGTCGCATTATACTCACCACCATTGTCCAGGGCGACTACCCATTGCCTATCGAAACCGCCTACTCCATCGGTCTTACAAAAAGGTGAATTGCCGGTGAAGTTAACACTCTTACTGATCCTCGAACTGATCACATAAATGGACTCCACATAATTATATGTGAATTAATCGTTGATAACACATACATAGTGGACTAGTTTGGGCCTTATGAAGTGTGCAAAATAAACGAAATTAGTGGAAAAACTGTGTTGGCGTGGAACCAAACCAAGGTTCAGTTGCCATGACATCCTTACAAATTTACAATCTGCAAGCATTTGAAACTGGCATCCTGAATCTCTTACGAACGCAAACTAGCGTAAAGTTTAGCTCCGCCTCCCGTTGGGCTGGTGTGCAGTCTGTCAATTCCAGTCGCCGTGATGCAGCCTGTCGCATGAGGTACGACGAAGTATTTAAAACACCCCACTGCACTTGCTTGTGTGATTTTTGCTGAGTCATCAGCAGGTGTTTCACACATAAGCACACGTACACGCAAGCGTCAGCAACCTAACTCCAGTTGATGAATTATGGAGGGTGAACATGACCGAACAAACGCCAACTCCTCCCCCTTATTTACTCTCACGTATATGGAGATCCGGCAAGTATGGTATCCCTCCTCCTCCCTTCTGAACCGAATTTGTCATCGACGGGTAAAGGCAAAAGTTCCAGCCACTAGCGAGATTTATCGTTGCAAACAGGTTGAAGCAAAACTGGTAGAACTTGCTATTTTTTGGAATAGGCGTGCTTGCACATGTGTCTCCAGGACAGCGGAACACAGATTTTTCTTCTCTCCTACCTGCCGTACTAGATACAAGAGGATTGGCAAATGTGAAACGGAAATTTGTGTGGCTTAACGAACAAAGACACTCCGCAGGAGATAGCAGATAATAAGACCTTTGCATCAATTACGTGAAAATTCACAGTCCACAACTAGCTTCTCTAGAGCAGAATGTAGTCAATTTGTTTGAACCACTTGGATCGAAATGTTCCAATGCTAATTACTGAGGTAAACACAGAGTTGCTCTCATTCCCGTGCAGTATCCATATCCGAGTTACATTCTTACACAAAACTCAGAGTGATTCGGAATGTTGAAAAATGGCAACCGGTATCCATTCGAGCAAAACATTTGTTGAAATAATTAAAGGCAGTAACTTCGGCGGCCATGGCCAAGAATTGCAATGCATTTAAGCGGCCACCAGGGGAGCAACATGCTTTTGTCGCAGGAAACTTTCGCGGATTGACAACACATTTTTTCCTGAGTAAATTGTTGTTACTTTCTAGTTAATTACGAGGAGGTGGCATCATCAAGACTCTTGACTTTCCACAAATTCTCTACTATTGTTCAAAAGCTCGCGAGTTTCCAAGAAGGTAGAAAATTTTTCGCTACCATGAATGTTTGCATCTGGAGGGCTGTGTAATGAAGTCACACTATCACCTGGATAGTAACACTAAGAACTACCTGTATGTATGCCGACTGCTTGCACATAATACGGAGCGTTTGTAAACCTTAGCGAAATCTCATGTATTTAACGATAACCACATCCGATCCACAGCTTCTAACCTGGAAGGTGGCAGTCAGTAATGTTAACTATCAAGTCTCCTCTTTAAAAAGCCTAATATATCAGTTTTGAAAAGAACTAATTCCAGGTTCCGAGATGTCGTTGGCACAATTGCTCGCGCGGCGTTGCGCAAATTAGTAAATAAAACGGTGGATTCGCAAGTATGAAGTGTTGGGGTTGACTGGTTGAATCAATCAGACGGTTGAAAATACATAGTAAGGGCACGCAGACCCACGCGAATGACCAGATATAGGACTGTCTTCGACCATAACCCGAAGGTAAAGGATTGCGTGCTAAATGCTATGAAGCAGCCGGCCTATAAAACTTCACGTAAGCTAACTGACATAAGGCACTGCATATCGTCCCTTTCAAAACTCATATTCAATCGCATGGTACTTCGGAAAGGAGAAAATAGGAAGGCTAGATCTACACATCAACATAAGTCACGGATTTCTAAATATTTTAAAATATTCAATTAGCCTCAAGAACGTTCCTAAGTTTATAAGTAGTAAGTGATTTGGTGTTCTCGCTAGCGGTCCAAAACGTGTGTTCGACCATATCAAGTGTTTGTGCTCAAGTATACAACCTATAACTCTTCAGCAGTGCCTAAGCATCCACACATTTTGTTGCGTGTAAGGGAGCAACCCTACGCGGTGCATGTGGTGAGTGAACATGCTAACAAATTCGGAAAAACATGTTCAAAAACATCGAAACAAAGTTCCGTCAAATTTAACTTCCCTAGCTAGGATGCTGATTTAGAAACAGCATCTCGTTCTGCTACTCATTTTGTCGGTAGTAGCCACAACTCGACACCTTTTTTACTCCATGCGGAATAATCAACCGTCGTCAACGAAATTATTGCGAAAACTGGAATAAAATCCGACCCTTATCGGACAGCTTACCTAACAAGCTCACATTACCATTAGTTCAACTGATAAAACCGCTTCGAATGTGTCGCCCATTTTCCTGTGAATCCAAGATATCCACGTATTAGCCCCGCGCAACTGGGCATCAATGGGAAGGCTTTCAGAGGCAGAAAATTCCCACTATTTACCATAAAGGAAAGTACTCCCAAGGTTGCTGAATACTCTTCGACAGCCCACGACCGGTTTTGCCCTTCCCGGGGCTCATCAAGTAGGCGTAGTCCCCGTGAAAACCAAAATGATTTGCAAATGAGTGTATTTCCCACTATTTACTTTTACGCATAGTTCTGAGTTTCAGAGTTTTTATAACTGTTTGGTCGACACCACTATACACAACAGATACTTCTTTCCGGGGTAATAGGATTTCAGCCACTTCACTTGCCAGTTTCCAAATTGCATCACTACGAGACACATCTCATGAACAATAGGGAAATGTGATAGTTACCACTTGAGAACAAAAGTTGAAAATTTCTCATTCAAACGATACATTTGCACTGCATTGTCGGTACTGTAGTTGCACAAGAAATTTGGTTCATCGGTTTCGCCTCAAAGTTTTCTTCTTGCAGTTGTATACAACTCGGAGTTATTTTAAGTAATATCTGAAACCTAGTCCTATAATACTCCGACAAATTGATTATGCTCTTTTCACTCCCTTACCTTTTATCAAACAGTTCCCGGCTATCCACAGAACAATGAGATACAAACTTCCGTTATCAAAAAACCTCCTGATTTAGCAGACCCTCGTCTTTCATACGAACGAAATCTAGAGCTGATTGATGTTTATCCTGAAGCCCTTTGTGATCAGCGCAATCCAAGTGGTCAGACCAGTGCATACTGTACGGGAGAGAGTATGAAAAGTCAAAGTGAAACCCCCGGAGTCGGCATTCGACTTTGGAACCCTGCGCACCATGCCTCACGTGTGGCGAATGCAAAAATTAACATGAGTTTGGCAAGTGATGCGTTGCAAGAAAAGAGCCGGTACGGTGATGTGGTTGCTTCACTGTCGGATCTGGGAGGTTCATTGCTCTCATTGGCTGCCGCCATACCTAGCAACCCCCAAATCTTCTCCACTCCCAGCGAAGTGAACATCGGTCCCCACTTACTTGCAGAGTCGCTGAGCCCAGTGTCCATCTGGTCCATCGACGGAAGCTCGCAATCCAACCAGCGTTTTACTGGTCGCATGAGTGTACCGTCAGTTCCAAGTCAATCCACTCCAGAAGGATCGAGAGAACAACTTCCAACATCTGGTGCTTCCGAGCTAGAAGGCAGCTATAACAATCGCAGTCGACCTTCTGGTACATCCAATATTTCATCTTCCGAAAGCCTGAGCGTTACTGATAGTCTGCCTAGTGCCTCAAAATCATCTTATGACAAGATATCACATCGTTTGGGGGACCGCAGTGGTCGGCCTGGTCCAATGTCGTGCCGAGATCCGGATAAAAATCCGGGCGGCGTAACAAGTAAGTAGTGTCACAGTCCTTCTAATCCACCGACATTTTTTCGAACATTTAACAGCTTCTCAGTAGTACAGCACGCTACGAGCGAAGGTAACAGTTTGATTTTCATTACCAGTCTAAAAGCGGCGAAAAGTGATTCAAGTTAGCATCAATAAAATGGACAGTATGTAGTGCCTTTTGATGGCGATCAGAATGAAATAACGACAATTTAACGAGACGCAATAATTGTGAATGCTTTCTGATGGAGGATAAGCTTACATCCTTCGGTCTTCAAGTTCAATGTCTACTAAACGCTTCTGGTGCCTGGGACAGCAGCAGTTGGGTTTTCGATCAAACTTATGAATTAAATACCCTTCTGTTCGAAATACGCATATATTTCCCATAATATATTCGTGGTATTGACTAAATCACTGATCAACTTTGGTATGGAAGGCGGCAACGTCGTATAGTCTTTATTAAAAACGGGTCAGATGTAAATAGTGAGCTGGTAAGGACTTGACAGTTTACCCAGCCGTTGTTGGGCAGGACAACTGGTGTTTGAAGGAACACAACGGTCAGTGAGCTATCAGATCATGACTTTGCGGCAAAAAGGAAAACAGCATTTAACTGTCTATGTCACGCTAATGGCTGCGTCATGATCTGCGAACTCAGTAGTCAGAGACAATAACTACTCTGCTTATATTCAAGTCTAACTCTACTTTGCTAACCTGCCTCGCTTTGTCAGTCACACAGTAAATGAGTAAAATTATTGCTGGGCTCAACAACAACACAACAATGCTCCCGGCGGTCACCCACGTTGAACTCAGAATTTTTAAAAATTGACAGGAAGGTACGCAAAAATGAACCAAACAGAAGTTCTAACCCTTACGTCACAGACGTTACAATTGTCGGAATGGATGTAAACTAGAAGCTTTCTGCTGAAACATCCCGTTCCTCATTGTCAATTTTGTGTATATCGAGGTTTATCGGCCACCCAAATAAATGGTGTGTTGTTCTTGACTCATATTTCCTTAGCACTGGCTTCATGTTGGCCGTACACTTGCAGATTTTACAGATATCAACGACAGTGTTTGTCCAACTGGATCACCGCAAGATTTTTCTTCTAAAGAGAAATCAATCGACACAGGAAGAAGACTTCTGACACATCGTTCTTCATCCCATACACAGCGGCAGTCCTCAGATCGGTTGAGGTCACGTGATCACTCCGTTAAACGTGCACAAACACAACAGTCCATTCAGCAACATAATCCAAAGCGCGACCCAAACGATTCTCGCAGAGACCGCCCAGGTCACCCAATAGACGACAACCACCACGCAAATCCCAGTTTTCCTAATTCCAGTTCGACGTCCCAGATGGTCAATTGTGTATGTCCAGATTTATTCCCACCCAGAGCACACTGCAATTATCCACACAGCAGATTTCCACTTCAAACACCTCCACTAACCTGTGTTCGACCAACCACATGCTATACCCACCCAACCTGTTCTGTGGTCAGTCCTTCAGGTTCGACTGAGCAAGTCGGACACGCGTACGAATTTTACGACCGCTTCGGTTCTCCCAGATGGACAGTAACAAATTATGGCCACCCATCACCACGTGTTTCCGATGTTTCCGCCAAATACGAACAACCAAGAATTTCGTTGGCTAAAGAATTTCCAGACACATGTGTTCAGGTAAGTGAAAACATTCGCTAACTGAGATCACAGTAGACTCCACAAAGTTTTCTACTGAACACATCCTTTCCACCTTCTTAGCACTACAATAGTGAGACTAATTGATTAGTTTGGTACGCAAAAACACTAATATGAAATCCAATGCCTGTTTTTTTATTGATAACACAGGTCGCACAGTAGTCTCATACGTTTTAAACCTCATTTCAAATGTTTTCCAAGGCCCAGTCAACCATTACTGTATTGGCTTGATGAAAGACTTAACAATACCGGAGGGTTCTTCATCATCAATGCACATTAGTCAAATTGAATGCATTATGCAGTTTAAGAGTGAATCCTCGCTCGATTAAAGACAATGCCCGCCAGGCAGCCTGATTTCTATGAAAGCTAACCGAACGTCCATCCAATTGCTGGGGAAGGACAGACACCAAGAACATGGGCACTCGACAGAGGTGAACTGCGAAAAAGTAGTTCTTCTAATCAAACTGTATGAAAAGTAGCGTGGCATCAGCCGTTCAGTTTCAAACAAGATCTGAGCGCGTTCGCAACTTTTCATTAAATTAGGCATGGAAATAAAGGATCATGGCAGCAAATCACCCCGGAGCGATATTTAATTCGTGGTAAGAAAATCAAATCAAGGGCTGTAACCGAATTGCTTTTGGGATTAAGAGAAATCCAAAAGCCTAAAATAAGTATATAAGAACATGAAGCCTTTTATGGCCATTTGCTGACGAGGTTTACGACACAGAATCTTCTGATGTGTGAAATTTTCATAATTTATAATTCAAACACAAAAAGTTGATTGCTTGGCCAACTGAATGAAAGTTCTATGGGAGCTCATTTTGATAAAGTAGAGAGTAGATCGATTATAAAATTCCGTGATTTGGCGAATCGTGTAAGCAATGGTTGCCTGGATATAGAGCCAAGTAACAGAACAAGATCAAAATTAGGCTCCAAAGCCTATTCGTACGGGAAAAAATATACCCAAATAACAAATCCTAACGTACGAGACTACATCACGCACATAGTTTAGAGTAACGATCACCGAATAGGTTAGAGTACTACCCATGTGGAATTTTCGTTACTTCACTTGACTAAAAGAACTGTCATGGAAACACCTATTAAATGCTATGGCCGCTGACAATTTTCAAATCTCTGTTGGAATTATCACACTCAAGATCGCTCTAATTACTTGCCTTCGTGAACAGGATTAATGAGTGGACAAGTAATCTGGGACGAAAGTCGCTTCAGACGTTTGTCACTTTATATTCGTTCAACGAATGTGTCACAACTTGTATGATGTACCTAATATGTATGCACACATGGCAAAAGTTGTTAAAATTGAAACCTGAAGCATTTGGTGTGCCGCACATTCAGTGGGATGATAATTTAAACGAGGAATTCACCCGAGGTCCAGCTAAGTCGCCTGATAAACATCAATGTAATTTGCAAACCATCGCATTTGGTATCTGCACTTTGGTATTCAAGTAGAACATAAGGTTGACACGCATTCTATTCTATTCTGTTCTAGTCTAGTCTAGTCTAGTCTATCCTATTCTTCCCCCACCCAGTGATTTCTAAGAAGGGTGGAACCTGTGGAGAGTGTCGAAGCGTCTTCAGCAACGTTCTGATTAGTGTCCATGATCAGGGAAATAAAATACAATGAAAAATAGGCCATTAGCATTTTTCAGCTTACAATCGAATTACCATCGCATTTGGTATCTGCACTTTGGTATTCAAGTAGAACATAAGGTTGACACGCATTCTATTCTATTCTGTTCTAGTCTAGTCTAGTCTAGTCTATCCTATTCTTCCCCCACCCAGTGATTTCTAAGAAGGGTGGAACCTGTGGAGAGTGTCGAAGCGTCTTCAGCAACGTTCTGATTAGTGTCCATGATCAGGGAAATAAAATACAATGAAAAATAGGCCATTAGCATTTTTCAGCTTAAACTGGATCACATTCCAAGAGGGTAGAGTGCACGTTTTTTGCCGCCGGTGCTAGGCATTTTAGCTGAAGGAGAATATTTATCATTCAAAAACGTTGATCTTAGATTGTCTACTTTATCCATTGTCATGAAAGCATGATCGGTTTGGGTTACATTCATGTGAATCCATGAAGCTTTGATTTGGATAAGTATCCGCGCTATTCGGTTCGATGACGTGAGTTGGGACCGGTCTCCCCCTACGTAATCCCTTCGAGCCTGCCCACTCAACAGGCCTACTAATCCGTTAGCTCCGGTTCACTGCTGTCGCTGAGTTATCCCGTTGATCCAAATGGTGCTCAACTCAGAGGTAGCTGATTCATTCGGCGCGTATGACAACCAAACCAGTGAGAGCAAGGTGACCAGAAAGTCCCTCAGTAGGCAGTCAATTGATTAAAACTGGAACAGAATGCGACGTTTTCACTGTCGAAAACTACAGGTTCCATGTTTCCATATGTCACATCCTTCAATGTTCATAAGCCGATTTTCAAACTTCGTTTTCTATAGAGTCATTCTTCATATTCTGTTTTGAATGCCAGAGAGCACCTTCTAGGTTGCTCTTCCGCCCCCTTTGATGTCCATTCACTTTAGACATTTACATGAAGAGTGATAAAATTTTGAGGGTTGTGTAAATTTTCTTTAGATTTAACAACCTAAATATTGTGTTTCTTTTCCGGACATGATACATTTAACTCTAATACTCCTAATGCCCTGAGTTTGTTGTGAATAAAAAAAGCTTCACGTCCACTGATTTTTTGAAGGCTTTGAATCTCGCAGTGTTTTTATCTATCAAAATTTAACGGTATTGACACAGACTTCGTCCCTTAGTTCTCGTGTAATTACACGGTTAAATAATTTACTAAACTAATCCGAAGACGGATCGTTCAGCTGAAAATATCTCAACCCTGCAAGGTGCGTCAGGCAATTGTTTAGACAGAAAAATCACCACCTGGAGACGTCGATCGAGCTGGTTCGCGCAATAAAGTTCCAAGCCCATCTTTGTGCGCGAATTAGATTAACTTCCAACATAGAACGCATTGCACAGTTTGCCTCCTAAGTTTGAATTGGGAAATGTTATATGAATAACATGAAACAACGTCCCAAAGTTGGAGAACTAAAGTAACAGTCAAGTCGTGAATTTACTGTTCACCGCACAGTAACGTAATTAAGGCGTCAATCTGTCCAGTAGCTTTTGCTCTGTGAAGCCGTTCTCTTTTCTGATTCATGCTTCTGTGTGATGTAACCCGACGATGGCACAGACGCACGGGCTGCGAGAAATATTCTCGTGGCCTCCTTGCCTACTGTTGCTTCGTTAGTAGGCAGAAAAGAACGTATATATAGCCTCACACAGGATACCGAAATATGCGGTTTACGAGGCCTAGTCTATGGACGGCGCTTGTCAAGTCAACATAGCTATTTTCATAGCTGAGGTGCTTTCAATTCCTCTTCTTCTTCCGCTTCCTTTGAGCTGAATGTTGGCTCCTGAAATTAGTTAATATACAGTGGCCAGCGAATTGGTTCAATATGCACAAACAACATTAGGACAATTCTCCACATATGCTGCCGGTTGAGCGATCTGAAGAAAAGTGTCCAGTTAGTCAGGTCAGGGATTCGTCTGAATTGTCAACCACGGAAGCCCTCACATCTTACCCACAAAAATCACTAATAAGCCGGTGTAATTTATTCAAAATTGGGACACGATTAAGAGCAGCCATTGCATCGGAAGTGTAAGTTGATGGGCGGAAGAATGTCTCAAAATAGTCTAAACCATTTGGGCAATCCCGTTAGCAAATGTTTGACGTGTGTTCAAAAACGAAAAGATGGTGTAACCAGATGAAAATTACATTCGCGGCAAAATGGAATTGAAAAGCTAGAAAATAGAATTACCCTGAGAGTTGAACTGGATTACTGAATATCGTACAAAACAGTGTTACAGGGTGCAGCGTTTTGCTTTGCCAGTATTTTTTCCGGATAATCGTTGTCCTTTTGAGAGAAAAGTGGCGTATGGTTTTAGAGGGACAGCTTTACAGGTATTCGCCCACTGTCCTTACCTACTATTCCGCTCTTACTTTTACAAGGTGAACGACTCTGCCGCTTCAGACATATACGAAACGCCTTATGCATCCGTCACCGTGGACGACCAACCAATAGGTGAACACACTGAATGGAATTCGAAAGCACTTTTTGACGGTGCAAAATCATCGACGCCTTGCCATATCAATGCCGTAAATTCCGGTTACCATATATCGACGAATTCTAAAACGGCAACGACCCTTCCGACCATCAGTAATTTGAATGAGTTATCCACCTACGCATCGTTGTTTACCGCATTCAGCCATTTCACATCCACAGCCCACTCGTTTTACTTACCCTGCCCACAAGTGCCTCCTATTTACTCCTCCGCTCAAGGACAGAATGGTCCAATGGCCAATGAATTTGGTGTCCCGGTCGGAGCCCGGTTACCGTTTATTACTTACCCTACAAGTGCCTCCTATTTACTCCTCCGCTCAAGGACAGAATGGTCCAATGGCCAATGAATTTGGTGTCCCGGTCGGAGCCCGCCCACCGTTTATTACTGTACCGCTGAATGTAATGGAGTGGGTAGTGAAAAAACGTCCTGACGGCACACGCTACATTACTCGGAGACCTATTCGGTGAGTCCTATTATATCCCTTATCTTAAACTTACTTCGTATGTTGGTACTAAGTGAAACTGTGGAATACGCTGACTAGGCTCCCAAAGAAGAATTTCAACCTTCTCATTTAATTTCGATCAAGCAAACTCAGACCACTGAAGTTGTCCCTGTCCACCAGCCCGTTCTAAGAAATTATATGTAGAGTCTGTCTACCTGACCATTTCCTCACCATAGTTTTTCCTAACTGGTGTGAGTAAGATTTTTTTTCCATTGAAAAACTTCAGCCCCATAGTAAAAAATCTTACTCGAAAAACACTGCTTGAGGCAGGCCAAAATCCATCACCTTAACGGATTTGTGAGACAGCGCACTCGAGCCTCTCCAGTGTCAAGATTAATTTTTAGTAAACCCATTATGAATCTAAATACTCTAGCTTTGGTTAATAAACCCGTTAAACATGTGCGTATAAAAAAATCCCCCCTGATTAAATGGCTAAATAGCCATTTCTCAACAGTTTGGCGTACGAATTTAATACGGCTGCGCATCAGCCTACTGAACCCGTTAATGCGTATAAAAAAATCCCCCCTGATTAAATGGCTAAATAGCCATTTCTCAACAGTTTGGCGTACGAATTTAATACGGCTGGGCTGCGGCCTACTGCGCAGTGGAACAATCATGTGGAACAGAGCCGTGCGACTATGCCCCCACGTCGGAATGACGCCCGATTTCGTCATGTGCCGGAGAAAGGTCAAATAAGGACACGGAATGTTCACACCCACTCCATGGCCAAGGCATCCCGTACACAAGCGCACAGACGGCCATCTACGATCAATCGAGACAAAGGAACAACCGCCCGAGGACCAGTGTGGGTGTGTGGGAGACACACTGGTTGGTTGACAGCGGATCGACCGTCAAATACGGTGACAAGTGAATCATATATATAGAAGTTTGTAATTGCGTTAATACACAGTTCTTTCAGGTCGTCTTCTTGTCTTCTGACTATAACCCAGTAGCGTCAGGGCAGGTGAAGAG